AAACAAAAAATGTCAATGTAAGATGATGTTTCAAAACCGCCAAACCAACTGGTTTGACTGGAATCCTGCTGCTGCACAATTTTAACGTGTTTTTAGATGGGGTTAGATCGATTATAAGCTTTATGTGGCCTCTCTGGACTCCGATATATTTGCACTAAATTTAGTCAGGTACCATTTGCAGTCATCAGCCGACATTTGAAGAAAAAGAAAAAAAGTAAAAAAAAAAAAAAAGCCGCATCGCTGCACCACTTTTGGGGCAAGCTCCATACCAGAAACCAGAGACTTGTTTGGGGGGCCTTATGCAATAAAGCGATGTCTCCACAAAATACACACCTACATGTACTTTTTACTAGACTTCGATTATCTCTTTTATTCAATAAAATAGTAGGAAGACGCCCCTCATTTTCGTTGACAATGGTTATGGTAATTTGCTGTCCCTTTCTATGATAATTTATATGTGGAAGTTGCAACCAAATTTTAGAGTCAAAGTGAAAGTGCGTTTTTGGGGACATACAGGTAAGTTCGGTTTAATGTGTAGGGTGGAATATGTAAGAACCAGTTGTGCATTTTGGAGAGAGAGAGAGAGAGGTGGCCAAGAGTTTGAATTTGTGAACATGCTATGAATCTTCGTATACCAGAAAATCTGATTACAGAGTTTACATTTGGGTTTTTGTCTGAAGCCTGTACCTGGATTGCAATCCTCTCTTATCTCAAAGTGTATTCACCCACAAAATACGTCCACAGTACACACGACCCGTACACTGTATGCACGAATGACGTAATTCGAATCGCACATTGCGACTGGAAATAGTACTTTGGTTGCTAATGGTATAGTACTTTGGTTGCTATGCGCATAGTACTTTTGGCCGTGCACAGAAAGATAGCAAAATTAGAAAGTAACATGTGACTCGCTCTCGGCCAATCAAGAGGTGTTATAAAAGGCACTATACAAGAAATACATGTACATGTAGACACAACATCTCCCCTCCTCTTTGAGAAAGAACTAGAGTACCGTTAATTCAACTATTAAGTAAAATGAGCAAAGTCTGTGAATTTCGGGGTTTTTTTCAACTTGCAAGCCTTACTCTCTGAAAACCAAGTAACTTAAGCAAAAGTTCACAGTCCCCTAGTGAATAATAAGGTGTACCTAGTGTGCAATATGATTTAACTCCCCCAAATACAAGCGTCCATATTATCCTGAATTTAGTCATTTAACTGCTTGACTGATAGTACCGGTAAATGTATGGAGGGGTCTGGACTACATGTCATAATCTTTTGACCACACTGGGGTTTTTCGAGGTCAAGTTGAATGTCGAACTTGACCATCCCCTGCCACAGGTTCGTTGACTGCTGTGGAATTTTGAATGCCGTTTTGAGCTTAAACCCTGTGCCATAAACTCTACAGGGCATAGACTTGGTTTTTAAACATTCCAGAATCTTCCATCCTCTAACACATAAGTAAATGGTCCCTTAGAGTTGATAATCTTCTGTGGAATAGAGAATTTGGTTGTCCCTTGTTTCACGCGTACATAGTCTCCTGGTTTGAACTTTGAATTTACTGCACCACGCTTTGAGTCAGTGTAGTTGCATGATTTTCCCTGCTTCTGTGCAACACAACAGCGAAGTTCAGCCTCATTCTGCTGCGGTGGTTTGTCGTGTCGAATGTTCATATACATGTGCGTGATCAGCTTCAGATTGTGCAGTAGTTCAGATGGTGACTTCCCTGTTGTCTGGTGGGGCGTTGAACGATAGGCAGTGAGTTGTTCTGCCTCTTTCCACCTTCTCCTCTCCTGTGATGCAAGCTGTAGGGTCTGTTTGAGAACCCTATTCCAACGCTCTACTTCCCCATTTGCCCTTGGGTAGTAAAGCAATGACTTATAATGTTTGATTTCGCAGTTGCGCAAAAAGTTCTCAAACTCAGTAGAAGTAAACTGGACTCCGTTGTCAGTGACAATTTTATTGGGCAGTCTTTCATGTGCAAAAATAGTATTTAGCATCAAAATAATTGTGCTAGAAGTGACAGTTTGAGCAAATGCAACCTCTGGCCATTTGCTGTAGTAATCGATGAGAACTATAGCAAATCTACAGTCCTGTGGGCCCTTTTATGAAAGGTCTGGTGATGGCAAACGCAAGTTTTTGCCAAGGTCCCTCTGGCAACGGCACAGGTTGGAGTGGAGCAGTCTGAGTTTGGGTAGTTTTGTCATTGGATTGGTAGGTGAAGCAGTTGCGCATGGCCTCTTCAACCATGCGATCCATGCAAGGCCACCAGTAGCAGTCACAGAGACGTTGTTTACAGCGTGGGCCTCGTGAGCAAGTGCAATGAGGTTGTTCTGCAGAATCTCAGGTATCAAGCAACGATCTCCGCACATGAGACAGTCCTCTACAACTGACAGTTCATCGTGAATCATCGAGTACGGCTGAAGTAATCCATCAATGGCTTTCTTGTTAGGCCAGCCATTGATGACATACAAAATTACACGATGGAGGGTACTGGTAGTATCTACTATTAAAACCGCTTGTTGCAGGTCGTTTATTTTTCTGTACAATAGTGTTCAGCAACAGTACATTGATTGCTTGTATGATGACTTCCTCGTCATAATCTTGAACTGGGGTGGTAGTATGTACATGTATGGGAAGGTGCGAAAGTGCATTGGCTGCTTTGTTGTAAACACCTGGCTGGTACACTACAGTGTTATTAGATCGTAGCAAGAGAGCAGCCCAACGAGCGATTCTCATGGACTGACGTCCTGTTCCGCATGTAGATAGGAGAGTAGTAAGTGACTGATGATCAGTACGCAGAGTGAAGTGGTGGCCAATAGATACTGGAACCACTTTTCACAGGCCCAAACACAGGCCAAGGCCTCTTTTTCACCAACAGAGTAGTTCCGTTCAGCTGTGGTGAGTGTTCGTGATAGGTGATTCTAAGTTTCCTTTCACCTGAAGTAGTACGGCTCCCAGGCCGTAAGCAGAGGCGTCGGTAGACACGATCACTGGCAAATCAGGATCAAATAAGCGTGGTGCGACACAGTTAGTGATCAGTTCTTTCACTGTGTGAAAGCTGTGTTGCAAATCTGGTGTCCATGAGAATGGCACATCTTTTCGAGTGAGTGCGCGTAACGGCTCGATGACTGTGGAGTAGGTTGGTACGAACTGAGCATAGTACGATGCTTACCCCAAGAATGAGCGTAGTGACGTCAGTGGAAGATGGCGCGTGTAGAATTGCCTAAACATGGGAAGGGTCAGGCTTTAATCCGTTACCTGACATGACATGTCCGAGGAATTGAAGTGAAGAAAGGTTAAACTGACACTTGTTTGGATTCAGGGTAAGTCCAATGTCCTGTAGACGTTGGAGTACTGCAGTGAGGTTCTTATCGTGTTCCGCCCAGTCATGACCATAGCATATTACATCTTCCAGGTAACACTGAACCCCTGGTAGCCCAGCCGAAAAAGTGCTCATGAGCTTTTGAAAGGTGGCAGGTGCCAATGCAAGTCCAAAGCAAAGTCCCTCCGGAGTGATAAATGCAGTCAAATCACATGATTCCTCTGCAAGCAGTACCGGTAGCTGGTGGTATAGGCAGAGTATAGGTAGATGGTACACCAAATGCAGCAACCCATCTAGTGATGAAAGCACGGGCTACTGTTTCTGCTGTGATGTCAGGCAGTAGGATGGCTTCTGGCCATCACGTGAAGTGATCAATGCAAGTGAGGATATAAAGGCATCCACTAGAGGTGGCATAGGACCAACATGATCTATGTGTACATGATCAAATCGTGCACTTGGGCCTTTAAACTGGGAAAGTGGTGCAGCGGTGTGACGATGGATTTTAGCTGACTGACACTGTATGGAAGATTTTGTCCAATTTCTTACATCACAGTTGATACTTGGCCAGACATACACGTAGCGGTTTGTGATGAGTCGTTGAGTAGCACGAATACCAGGGTGTGACAAGGAATGAAATGAGTTGAATACGTGACGTCGCAAGTCCTTCGGGACGAATGGTCGTGGATTACCTGTGGACATGTCGCAGGTAAGGGCTGCGTCGCATGATGGGAGTGGCACGTCTTTGAAAGACAGCGAAGATGAGGATTGACAAAGTTGTTGGAGTTCGTCACACTGTCGTTGTAATTCAGCCATCTTGTTGAATTCCATGGGTGTGTGGGACTGCTCTGGGCTGAGGGAGTTGAGCTCGATACGCGAAAGAGCGTCCGCAGCAGGGTTGTCACCACCTTTGACGTATCTGATGTCACAAGTGAATTGTGAAACAAAATCGAGATGGCGAATCTCACGTGGGGAATGTCTGTCCATTGATGCTGACAGCACGTGAAACTCCCGACCCTCGAGCGAGTGACAGAAATGGCCAGTTACACAGCTAAGAAATCTCGTCCAAAGGTGCTGTAGCGCGTTTCGGCTGGTTGGAGCTTTTTGGGTGTACCGTATGGTGTATACAAGGCAAATGATGAGTATTGCATTCAGGAGAATTAATAATTAAAAGGTTGAAAAGGAACATTGATAATTAAAGTGTGATAACTAACTGATAAGTGATATTAAGATGAATTGATAATTAAGAATTGATAATCTGAAAACGCTACAGTGTCATTGTTTATGTCGCTATTTTCACGTTGTCATGCCACCTCATTAGATATGCAAAGCAGTATTACCCCCGCGTCGCATGAATCTAAATGTCCATACGGGCAATGATACATGTAATGGTGATTGAGAGTGCAGGATGCACTGTCAATCCTAGTACATGTATTTTTCAACTCAACAGCATGTGGCAATAGTTCTTTTGATGCAATGCACTCGCAAATTACGAATCCACACATTCTCATGTACCGGTACATTCTCCTGAACAGAAAGTTATGAAGGGATATATAAAAGACGTGGTTCGAATTTTAAGGTTTGGAACAGAAAATATATGTGAAATAGGCTTTCTTGGTCTAAGAAGCGATAAACAAAAACAAAACTGGGGTGCTCAAATTTAAAACAAAAAATTAAGTACCTTGTAAAATCGGGGATCCTCCTTCATGGTTGGAAATGTTTGGATCAGCACCATCTTTAATAAGCAGCATCAAAGTTTCTAAGCAACCGGCCCTTGCTGCTAAAAAGACAGCGGTCTCGCCCTCCCAGGTACGTGCATTCACATCTACAGTAGAGAACAAACACATTAAGTGACGTGTACTGGTAAATTAAACCTGACTATAGGTCTCTCTCAAATGACGTCACTTCCTACAGATTGCCACGTGCATCAGCATTTTGGGCGTCAAATGTTGTCACGAGCATTGACTGCGCCGTATTTTCAAGAAATTTTGAGCAACACACGCTCGTGTTTAGAACATTTTGCACACTGCGTGCACACACACCTGATGGCATTGAACATACAGTTGTAAATTTCCTACGAACATGGCATCCTATGAGATCTACGATATAGGCTTGAGCTGTCATGCATGTATATCAGCATAGATTTACAGCTCAGTAATGGGAATGGCAAATTTACGTTTGAAAAAAGAAAGTGTGGCTAATGACCCTGGGCTAATACAAGGATAAAAAAATTTGCAAAGTGCAAAGCTTTGCTGAACAGCCAAAACAGGTTAAAATCACTGTGTGAATCCCACTCTACTGCGTTCTGCGCCACATTGCCCTGTAGTTGCCATACGCGCCTATCTCAATCAAAGGAGACTTTTAGTTCTATGTGCACAAGGCACATATGTACCATAGATATGGCAAGAGGGGTGTTACACTTGTTGATCAAAATCATTGGAAAATTGTGAAGTTTGACTTGTGTTGACATTTTGACTGGCTAGGGGCCTGGGCATGGATAATGGCCAGAGCTGAAGACAGCCCCTGGCTGGTTGTACATGTAAATGTACCTATTAAAAAAAATGCCAAGCAAATATTTATTCCCTTATTTATTAAATTAATACTTCAGACAGTTTACCTATTCCTTTTGGTAGAGAGAGCCCATCATGTCGGTGGTTTTACGAGGTTGATAAAACAGCGGTGTCACATGAAATGTGGACTCCTATGAAATCTGGTCCCTTTTACAATCTTCGCTTTATGCATGCCCAATACTACCAATATCCAGAGTCCTAAATTCACACTATACTACACCCATGGGCGTCACCAGGGTGGGGGGCAAAGGGCAAGGGGGCACTTGCCCTCCCTCCCAGAAAAGCAAACCCCCCCCCCAAAAAAAATAGAGGTTTATGTCTGTTTGAAAACAGAACAAAGGGCTTTTCTGCTTATTATTTTTGTATGACTTTATAAATGCTTTTTTTGCCAATGTTCAGTCATGTACACATGTAAATTATATTATTTTGTTCAAAGTTCATTAGAAGTCATATTGAGCTACATGTAGTTTAGCCAACAGATATAAAATATTGAAAAAAAGTTGACGGCGTCATGTTGACGTCACTTCGGATTTGGCATATGATAATGTCACATGTCCTACAATGATGTCATCTTGAAAAGACTTGTCAATGCACATATTTGCATTGTGGTCTTGGTTTATACTAATGTAAGTTTAAAGTCAATCCGATGAAAGAAAGTGTTAAATTTTGGAAGCGGAAGGAAATTGTAAATATTAAAAAAATCATAAAAAAATCAACCAATGACATCATGGTGACATCATTTCGGACTTACTAGTACCATTAGTAGTGATGCCAGAAAAAAAAAATTGTGTTGCAAATCCATGGCATATCACCACTCATTTTGAAGCCTATGATGTCCTCTATCTTTTGGAGTGACGTGTTTTTTAATTTAATGTTTCGTATGCAAATTAGCACTATTAATTATTCATAGATTCCGAAATCTCCCTGTCGCAGGTGTCGGTTATTAATATTATCGTATTTTACATTGATTTAAAAATGAAATCAAGTACACATTGTGATTTTTGGCTGTAAATTGTTTTAAATTAGCTGATAGGTCCAAAATTTAAGTGGTTTTTTTTTTAATTTAATGGTTTGTATGCAAATTAGCACTTATTAATTATTCATAGATTCCGAAATCTTCTTGTAGCAGGTGTCGATCATTAATATTGTATTTTTAAAAGATTTTTATTGTATTTTTATGATTTTTTAACAAAAATTAAATCAAGTACATGTGTTTTTTTGGCTATAAATTGTTTTAAAGAGTCACAGGTCCCAGATTTTTGCTCATTGCCACTAATTACATGTACCGTAATTAGTGGCTTTGGTTCATAAAAGGCAACAGGTCAGTGCATGATATTCGCAAAATATGGGTGAACATGAGATCTAAATGAAAACTTACCTTGTCATTTTATCAGATTTGAACACTTACCTTAGTTATATGATAATCTCCAGACCCCCATTTTTCATATCTTCCAGGAGTTGGTAAAGTGTAAATGGCTGCGTCATCCCTATATTTGATATTGTACCACTGCGGATACCCCGGCACAGTTGAGATGACTTTCCCTTCACACGGCTGCCTCTCTCCCTCCTTCATGAAAATATGATTGACCCTCTTGCCCACAAGAAAGGGAGCCTCCCTAGATGACCTTACCTCACACTTAGATGCATTTGTGATTAACACCCTTAAATTTTCAGCCAACTCTTCTGCAGTGAAATTCCTCCTCTTGTTTGCACCATCACCATCACCACTCGATGAAATCGCTTCTGAAAATCGATAGAGCTTGGTGTCTGCTTCTTGCTGAAGAATGTTCTGTCTGAATCGAAGCTGAGCTTTTAAGGCAAGTTTTTCTGTCTTGGACCTGATGCTGTGTAGGGACGATTCCAGCTGGTCTTGGGTCTGCCACAGTCCGTAGTACACGATGTCCGCCGTCATCAGTTCACGCTCTTGCACTTGTTTTCGCCTGCGTGCCTCTTCTTTTTCGAGTTTTTCCTGTAGAAGCTTTTTCCTCTTGTCAGTGATGGCTTGCCGACGCTGCTGATAATTCCCTTGGATGATTCGGGCATCCTTCCTTGCTTCTGACAGTAATCGATTCCTCTCCTCAGTTGACTTGTCATTGATCCAGCGCCCAGTTTTGTTTAGACAAAACATGACGACAGCCTCCTGGGAAAGGTGATTAGAATTCGGCCGTACTCTCAGGAGGTGGTCAACGTACGCCAATACCCGTTCTGCGAATTTGTTGTGCTTTTCAACACTCTTGGACACATCATAAACTTCTGGGGATGGGTTGAAGTGCTGTCCACCGGGAAGGTGCTCCTTGTAGTGTCGCCTAAGGAGCATGGACATGGCAGGAATTATGATGGAGGGAAACACTTGAGCATCATCGTCATATTTGGACGGCTTGATAAGGCACTCATACACAGCATCTTTCTTGATGAATGTCTCCTTTTCGAATGGCTGCATTTCTCCTGTCATGAAATCTTCTATGTTTTCTTGCGCCTTGTCAAGAAATGCAAGCAGTGCTTGGAGGAACTTACTCATGTCCATAATGTGTACTTCTTTGTCCTCGATGACTTTCCAGAGGGGTCTTGTCACAAATTTGTTCAGAAGGCCAACAGCTTTGCACCCCGCAATGTGCATGGGAATACTTAGATCGTACTTCACAGCTTTGAGGAGGCCATTGAGATTGTGCTGTTTGTCAAGGTACTCTTTCATGTGTTCATGAAGAAAGTATACATGTGCACCATTGAAGAAGAGTATATTAAATCTATTCCCACGGAATGGGCACAGGGGAACTGATCTCATGCCGTTTTCCTCAAGATGTGGCTTTACATAGAGTTTGAAGTCTCCATAACATCCTGATTTCTGGCCTCCTGTTCTTGCGAAGGCTTTTGAAGCAGTGCGAATGAGACGAACAGTGCCCGCTTCATTTGCCTGGTTTAGCACGAAGGGTGGGGTGGCTCTCTGTTCTGATGACTGGCTAGATTTCTCAACTTCAAGAAGTGAAGATCCGGTTACTTCTGCCAACTGAACGAAACTGTGGAGTCCACAGAAGAAGGTTGTCAGAGATTCAATCGGTGCCCGATCCTCATCCGTCAACTTGTCCCAATTCTCTACAACTTCAGGCAGTACACTGCTTCTGAATGACTCGAGAAGTTGGTGCCATTTTTTTTCTGTAGAAGCCCGATCCGACATGATGCTTCTGATGTGGCCCAAGATATGCTTGCCTGGTTGTGATTCTGTACTTTTGGTTCTGTCATCAATGTCCTGCAAGACCTCTTTGAAAGTGCTGAGTGTATCATCAGATGACTTTGTTGCCAAGTCTCGGATTCCAAGCACCCAGTATCTACCATCTGCATCTGTTGCGTGATACCCCATGTACTTCTCTGAATACTTGCTCGTTTCATCGCTGTATAAGCAGGTGTTTTCTTTTGGTGCCAAATCTTCTCCTAGTTGTTTTTGGGCAAGAGCTAACCTTTGCACATTCATATTTCCAATAGTTGCTGTCGATGGCAACTTTGATGGAGCCTTTCCAACAATTTCCAAACAGTCCTTGATGACTGGCCCAATATGGTTATAGCCGACATGATGCTCTAACAGTTTGTGCACGAGGCATGTGAAATCTGTGGTGTAGTGGTTTCCAACGTATGTGGTCACAGTTTTGTTTTGTAGACTTTTTATGCGATCTTCAAGTGTCTTGATCCTGTCTGACGCCTCAATTTGTTCTTTTTCCATTTCATTCATAGCATCAAGAGCTGTTTTTAATTCTGCATCAGTTTCTTCACAACCGGTAGTAACGTTCTGAAGTTGTTCCCCAAGTTTGTCCGTCTTCTCCATGTAGTAATCTCTCATGCTTCTTGTTCTTTTCAGCTCTTCATTTTTTGCAGTAAGCAGAGATGCAAGATGATCATTTTTCTTCTGGGCAGCATCTAGCTCACAGTCCTTTTCTACCAAGGACTTACCTGCGACATTTAGTTCACGGTCCTTTTCTTCCAATGATGTATGAAGAGCAGAGGCGACTAATTCCCCAGCTTCAGTATCCATAATGTCATCGGCCTGTTTACGCTTTTTTGACGACTGTCTTCTTTCAGGAAACTGATAGGACAGAGATCTGAACTTTTCACGCCCATTATCATTGCGAGACTTATTCTTATTTACCTTTTGGTACTCACCAAACAGAGTTTTGACACTGTCTTTGTATCCCGACAGGGTAGCACATAATTCAGACCCATATTTATCAATATAAGCTGTTCGTAACCACAAAGCGCATGAAGGTTT